CTAGCTAAAAACTAATGAAGATAAATATGAAAAGAATTCTCTTAAAGAGCCCTTATAGATAAATCAGCCTAATTAGAAACTGATATGCCAGCCATCCATTTTTGAAGCCTCTGTTTCTCTCTCAAATCCTATTTTTCATGGCTATGTTTCAGTTGACTGAAACCTTTTTCTTGAATCTCTCACCAACGGCAATTAGCACCTTAGTACTTGTTCTTTATGTATTTTCTCTCTGGTCTGGAGCTCTGTACTCTTTTGCATTAAACTCATTGATTACTTGGGGCTGGCAGGTGGTATGGTGGTTAAGAGTCCTGAATTCCTATGTGGCCAGCTGTGGTTCTAGTCCCGCAACTGGTGGCTTGCGTTCTCATTTTCCCTTTCTCTCTCTCTCTGTCCCTCTCTGGTCAAGTTGAAATGAATAAATGAATAAAGTTAAATAAAATAATTCTTAAAAAAAAATCATTGATCACTTTGCCTTTTGGAGTACCAAGAGTTACTTTTATATAGTGAAAGGACATTGATCTTTGGTTGTATGGTGATTACTATATGAAATTGGCTTTCTTTATTTTTTGTTTTCTATATATACTTTCATTACAAAAAAGTCTTAAATATTTGATTCAGTCAGACAAACTGATAGCAAATGGCAATTTTCTACAAGGAGAAGTAACTGCCTAAATTAGTCAAAGAACTCTTTGAACCAGTCACCTGTCTAATGTGAGTGGACTTGTTAAGCAGTTCTTTTTTTCTTTTTGGAGAGTTTTTTTTTTTCCACTATAGGGTGCGTGCGCTCGCCAGACAGACAGAGAGAGACAGAGAGATAGAAAGAGAGAAATCACCCCCCAGGGGTGATGGCCACACCACAATCCCTTCTCCTCCATTCTCCTCTCGGGATCGTGGGCACGCACGCACACGCGCCCGGCATGAGTTTAAGCCACCGGGTCAACTACGTGGGAGTCCAGCGACATAGCCATTATGCTAACTGCTGGTCCCGTTAAACAGTTCTTTTTTGTTTTTTTTGGAGTGGTTTTTGCTATAGGGCAAGTGCGCTTGCCAGCCAGACAGAGAGAGACATAGAGGTAGAAAGCGAGAAATCACCCCCCAGGGGGGATGGTCATGCTGCAATCCCTTCTCCTCCATTCTCCTCTTGGGATCTTGGGCATGCACGCACACGCTCCTGGCGTGAGTTTTAAGCCACTGGGTCTGGGACGCAAACTGCAGTCGACTACATGGGAGTCCAGTGACATAGCCATGACATTAACCGCTGGTCCCAATCAGGTTATTTATTATTTATTTATTTTGGAGAGGTTTTTGCTATAGGGCATGTGCACTTGCCAGAAACACAGAGAGAGGGACCAGCAGACAGCACTTTCGGTCTCTATGTCTCTGTCTGTCTGGCGAGTGCACGTGCCCTATAGCAAAAACCTCTAAAAAAAAAAAAAAAAAAAAAAAAGAAAGAAAGAAAAAGAAACACAGAGAGAGACAGAGAGACAGAAAGCGAAAAATCACCCCCTGAGGGGATGGCCACGCTGTAGATCCTTCTCCTCCATTCTTCTCTTGGGATCTTGGACACACACGCACACGCACCCAGTGTAAGTTTAAGCCACTGGCCCCGGGACTCAAACCGTGGTTGACTTCATGGAAGTCCAGTGACATAGCCATTATGTCAACTGCCGGTCCCCTTAATCAGGTTATTTAGCTACTGTAGTTAAAAGTTTTATTTTAGTCTATGAAAGAGCAAAGTATTTTTATAGCTATGGTTTGAATTTTTAAAAAAATTATCACTTAAGTAAGTGACAGATAGTCACAGTGCCCTGGTCCTGTTTTAATCAAGTGTTGTAAACCTTTGATATTTGACAGACTTCTCAAATCAAAATTCAGTTCCAATTTAAGTTTTTTGACCTTGAACTAATTTTTGGACATTTTTAACAGGACCTTTGGGATGTCTGAGAAAGCCAGATTAGATTTTCTGACATGTTGAAATTATATGGGAACTAGGGGAGAAAGGCTCTTTCCGTCTTGTGGCAGCCATCAGGTAAGCCAAGATGGGCGCGTACAAGTCTATCCAGGAGCTGTGATGGAAGAAGCAGTCTGACGTGATGCACTTTTTCCTGAAGGTTGGCTGCTGGTAGTACTGCCAACTCTTGGAGCTGCACTGGGCACCCTGCCCCACCCGGCCAGATAAAGTGTGCAGACTGGGCTACAAGGTGAAGCAAGGTTATGTCATATACAGGTGCAGCATGGAGGCCACAAACACCCAGTCTTCAAGGGTGTAACCTATGGCAAGCCTGTTCATCATGGTGTTAACCAGCTCAAGTTTGCTTGAAGCCTCTAGTCTGTTACAGAGGAGCAAGCTGGATGCCACTGTGGGACTCTTAAGAGTCATAAATTCTTACTGGGTGGGTGAAGATTCCACATACAAATTTTTTGAGGTTATCCTCATTGATCCATTCCATAAAGTTATCAGAAGAAACCCTGACACCCAGTGGATTACTAAACCAGTCCACAAGCACAGAGAAATGTGTGGGCTGACAGCCGCAGGCTGCAAGAGCCGAGGTCTTGGAAAGGACAAGTTCCATCACACTATTGGTGGCTCTCGCCATGCAGCTTGGAGAAGGTGCAATACTCTCCAGCTCCACTGTTACCACTAATCTAAGAAATGTCTATAAAATTCATACCTAATAAACAATTTAGGACAGCCCGAAAAAATAAATTATATGGGAAGTATTGTCAAATATGAAATGCTGTTTTTAGCTCTATATACAAATTTGTGTCAATGGGTATTCTAAACTTGTGTGAGATTCTTAAATATCTGTTATATATTAGTGCATTGTAATGCTAAATAGTTATAATGTTGCTTGTCACAGAAATGATCAAATTTGGGACCAGCAGTTAGCATAATGGCTATGTCGCTGGACTCCCACATAGTCGACCGCGGTTCGCGTCCCGGACCCGGTGGCTTAAAACTCACGCTGGGTGCGTGTGCATACGTGCCCAAGATCCCGAGAGGAGAATGGAGGAGAAGGGACTGTGGCGTGACCATCCCCACTGGGGGGTAATTTCTCGCTTTCTGTCTCTCTGTCTCTCTCTGTCTGTCTGGTGAGTGCACGCGCCCTATAGCAAAAACCTTTCAAAAAAAAAAAAGAAATGATCAAATTTGTCTATTTTGGGTTATGGTAAAATCAGATCCACAAACTGGGCTCTGCTCTCCTGGCTGAGTTAGACACAGAATAGGACAGACCAGGTTCTTTACTCTTAGGTCCCCACTAGCTCAAGGTCAAAATGCAGGTGAGGGGGCTAATGTGGATGGGCTCCTAACTCACAATAGCCCAAAGCCAGAATTGCCAACGTTTCTTAGGCCTCTGAGAATTCACTGTCTCTGCCCACCCCCCTCCTCTGAAGTGATAAAAAATTATCTGAGACCTTGAGAAGTTGGACACCATGTTTATCTAAACCTTTATTCCTGAGAACAAACTCAGGGCTACATCTTCCTGATGGGCTGCTGCTTCTTGATAGACTTCTTCTCCCTGACAGGATACCCTAAGCTGGCTGAGAGCCGCCCCTCCCCAAACTTCCCGATAAAAAACTGTGCTCAACCCCCAAGTGGAGCAAGAGATTCTGAGTGTTAACTCTTCCAAGCCCACCAGTGTATTAAAGAGTTACTCCTATCTCTCTGGAATGCTGCCTTTTTGTTCCTCAGGCTGCCTGGTTTTTCGTAACAGGGCAACCAATGATGTTTATAGTAGGCACTGGCTGCCAGGTCTAGCAGAACTTTCTACCAATCCTGGACATGTAATTGCAACAAATTCAATACTTGTTGGCAAAGGTTGCCTTGCAGTGAATGTCTCGTCACTGCCTCCCCACATAGAGAAATAGATCATTATCTATTTAGTATGGACAACTGTATTGATGAGTCTGAAGTGAAAAAGGCTGAAAAGTCTGTTAATGATCAGGATTTTGAAAACTTACTGCCTGATCTACAACAGGCCTGGGGCCAGGTAGACATCATGGAAAGGCAGTCTCATTTTAACCAGTTGTTAAAATTCTTTTGGATTGGCTGGGGGCGGGAACTGGGGGTTGTGGGTACTGATGGTGTGTACTGCCCACCTCACAGGGTCTGAAAAAAAAAAATTCTTTTGGATTGGGACCAGCAGTTAGCGTAATGGCTATGTTGCTAGACTTCCACATAATCGACCGCGGTTCACGTCCCGGACCTGGTGGCTTAAAACTCATGCCGGGCGCGTGTGAGTGTGTGCCCAAGATCCCAAGAGGAGAATGGAGGAGAAGGGATTGCGGCGTGACCATCCCCCCTGGGGGGTGATTTCTCGCTTTCTGTCTCTCTGTCCCTCTCTGTCTGGCGAGCGCCCGTACCCTATAGCAAAAACCTCTAAAAAAAAAAAAAATTCTTTTGGATCATGTAAGGAACTGAACCATGCATCACTGGCTCTAGGAGACAGACTGCCAGGAGCAACCATTAGGATTTTCAAACACAACAGCCTGGCTTTAACCTGATATCCCAGAAAGAACTTCTGGGATATAATTACAATATAATTACAATCAGTAATTACACTGATATCTAGTTTGCCTTTGAATAATTTAAAATGTTATGGCTAGTATTTGTTTTCCTGAAACAACACCTGAATATCAACCATCACTGGGAAACAAAAACTGGTCCAGAACACACATGAACATGTCAAAATATCAAAGACAATGGAGTGAGAAAGACAAGAAGGGAGCATTGAACTGCAGTGTGCACTGGGGACTTGGCCACCTAACCCAGGCCTGTTCACACAGAATGGGGGCCAGGACCCACCTGCCAGAACTTTGGCTAAGGTTTACAAGCTCAGAATCATTCTTAACCTACTGCTGTGGGAAAATGTAGATTTAAAATTAGCAGTAGATTATCAGCCTTTATTTATTTATTTTTGGGTTTTGAAATGGGCCATGTGGACGAGAGAGACAGAGGACAGAGGATGGCAAAGAACCATGCCTCAATTGTCACTGACCTGAAACCTGGTGTCACCCCAGTGAGGCAGAGGAAATAAATACTTGGTACTCTGAAATGCATGACTTGGCATCCAAGGACACATTGAATGTCACAAAGAAATTGGAATTCTGGTGGAATGTCAGTGTTTCTAGAACACTCCACTACTGCTGGTTAGGAAGCCTGGAGATTACTGGCCAGTGCAAGATCTGCATGCAGTAAACAATGCCACTGTAACCCTCCACTTTGTAGTGTCAAACCCCTACATGCTCTTTAGCCACCTTCCACTTCAAGCAAGTTGGTTCACATGCTTGGACCTCAAGAATGCCTTCTGTCTCTGACCAGCTTCCAAGAGCCAGCCCTTATTTACCTCCTTTGAATGGGAAGAAATTTCCCCATGCTGTTGTAACACTGATGAATAGTAGGGGCTATAGGTGGTTGATGGGGGCAAGGATGGCTCAGTACCAGGGGTTACTATGCGAGTACCCATGTGGCTAGAGATGGTGTGCATGCTAAACCCAGCCACTCTCTTTCCTACCAAGCCTGGATCACCTAATCATAACTGTGAAGAGATCATCAATGAGATCTATTTGAGTAGATTAGACTTGTCAGACAAGCCCTTCCTGGATCAGATTTGATGCTCTTTGCAGATAGCAGCAGGATGGACAATGAATAGGTGGATATATAGTGACCACAGAGGCTGG